GGTGGCCACTGAGGCAGGAGTAGGGTGCTGTAGGTAGAGGCCCCTCCTTGTGCTTGTGCTTCATCTGACCTGCTGAGCTCAGCTCTGAAATATTCATTTGGCTCTGATGTCTGGAGATTTCAGGAGTTGAGATTTCAATCCCAATATCTCCTTTTCTGCTGCAGGCTGTGGAAGGTCCTCTGATGTGCTCCAGCTGAGCTGGCTGAGACACCTGCCCCCAAAACGCTGACTGTTTTCATAGCAGGAGTCACGCTGGCTTGCTGGGATGCAGACACTGACACTGGGTCCAATGGACCCCCATCCGTGGCATGCTGTGCTGGTGGGGTAAAGGGTGCTAGAGAAACACTTCTTCAGGATAAGTCTTGTTAATTTATTACGATTTCAGCCATATCTAGTCTCCCTAGTCCTCCTCTCATGGCAGGCCATGGGCTTCCAAATCAGAAAAAGATCATGTCATCAAAGTGTGACTACCAGCTAAGGATATCTGCAGGATACAGCTGAGAAACGGCACTTGCTTTGCCCAGTAGCGAAGTCAGTGACATGCAGGTCATGCTTCAGTGCCTGATGTTTGTTCCTCCACGGTCAAAGGGACTCGAGTAGTTTTGGTTTCTGTCTGCTCTGTAGTTGTAATTCTGTGTATGTTGAGAGGTGGTACAGGTGCCTCCTGTGATGTGAAAGCTCAAAGTTCAGAGAAACTTAGGCACACGTGGCATCCAAGACCAACTTGAAATCGGGCATCTCTGATACCCAAAGCCTCTGCAGTGTTACAAAAACCTTAACCTAAGTCTGTAATGAATCCTGCTGCACAGTGATTTTCTTTATAGTAATTCAAGTGTGGAAGTTCTTAGCGAAATTACAACTTCACTTTGATTTCTAAGTCTCCATCCCTGCTTCAAGATCTTGTAACATGGGAGTGAAAGCTTTTTCCATCAAGAAAAGTGTGGCCAGCAGGTTGAAGGAGGGGATTCTCCCCCATCTACTCTGCTCTCATGAGACCCCATCTACAGTGCTGTGTCTAGCTCTGGGGCACTAACATAAGAAACACATTGACCTGTTGGAGCAGGTCCAGAGGCCACAAGGATGCTTGGGGGGCTGGAGCACCCCGACTGTGGGGACAGGCTGAGAGAGTTGGGGGGTTCAGCTGGAGAAGAGAAGGCTCCAGGGAGACCTTAGAGCGGCCCCCCAGGGCTGAAAGGGGCTCAGGAAAGGGGGGAGGGACTCTGGATCAGGGGGTTTAGGGATAGGATGAAGGGTAATGGCTTTGAATTGAAAGAGGGGAGATTTAGATGAGACCTAAGGCAGAAATTCTTCCCTGTGAGGGGTGTGAGGCCCTGGCACAGGTTGCCCAGAGAAGCTGTGGCTGCCCCCTCCCTGGAAGGGTTCAAGGCCAGGTTGGACGGGGCTTTGGGCAACCTGGGCTAGTGGAAGGTGGCCCTGCCCATGGCAGCGGGGGTGGAACGAGATGATCTTTGATGTCCCTTCCAACCCAAACCATTTTGTGATAACAAGTTGGGTTTTTTTCTCCCTTATAATGACTCATATTAGGTGACCTCTTTTAATTTTCAGAGAACTTCAACTCAAGACCAGTTCAGTTGCAGGAAATTCTAGCTCAAAGAGGGAATCCTTGATGAAGACAGCAAACGTGAATGGAAAGTGGTTGTCAGGGCTAATACCCCAGTGTTTGACATGACAACGTCATTGCTTCATCTCACGTAAATATTTCTGCTTAACCCTATACCTGCCAAATCCAACCCATTTTCATGGCACTGCCCTTTCCCTTTCACTGTAAACACTCTGGGGGAAAAAATATTATTTTGTGGGCTGTAAAAGTAGATTTCTAGTAATTTTAGTAATTCTACTCTCTCTTGTTCTTCCACATTCCGTGTCTCAGTAGTTGCATTTGTGAATATATAGATGTGAGCAGTTGGAATAGAAACATGTCACAAAATTGATATAATCTTAGGTGAACTTAGTAACCAGAAATATGAAAAATTTAGATGAGATGAGTTGCTGATCTCTGAACTGTTGGTTGAATCAGACCACAAAATCATAACAGCATCCTGCAGTGACATAAAGCATCAGTCGATAGAGATTTCTGACGGTATTATTCAAGAGAGGTGTTAGAGGAGGGACCAGATGAGTCCCTTCTCATTTGAAAAGGGCGTGAATCTGTGAGAGGATCCTAATTTTCTGGAGGCCCCAAAATGCGATGAATCTGTTGATTTTTCTGTAGGACTGAAGATGAATTTGTATGAAGGGTCCTGCACTTCACTCCTCCTGTTCCAGCTTGGCTACCTGGCTTTGAGAGGCTTCTCTTGGGGCTTTTCTCCACAGAGAAGCTGATCAAACTGGTTACATGCTCTTCTTCCGCAATAAAAATATTTTTTACTCTCAAAGAGAGCTGCCGGTGCTTTGGGGGAAACAGCACATGCACTAGTCTTTCCCCTCCAGTTTGTGGCTGATTCTTGTCGGATCACAGCCAGCAGAGTCCTTGCTCCTGCCTCCCCTTTCACTTTCACACCTCCCTCCCCTAATTACAAAATGGGGATTGTTAGCTTGTGTGATTAAGAGCCATTATTTTTCATGAACAGAAAGGAACAGAGGCACAGTACCAGGTGGAGGAAGCCAAATAACGTAGTGCCAGCAGAGGCCCTGACCCAGCTCTTTCGGGGCTGTCCAAGGAGGATGGTCAACCCAAGGCCAACCGTGGGACCCACCAGTCAAGTCAATGGGGGACGCTTTCCTTCATCACCTTGGGGTGTGGGGCACATCATGGTGTGCTGGGAAGAGCATTTAGGGGCTGTGCAAGGCTTAATTAGGGGGGGGTTAGGAGAAGGGGCAAAGTTGGGGAAAAGAAAGGATCGGGGTGGGTCAGTGAGGAGCAAACAGGGAAATGAGAGGAGGGATGATAGGGGCTGATCCCACGTGAGTGGGACCGTGGTCAGTATACTTGTCTGCCTGAGTTCTGTGCTGTGTCTTCTTATTAAATCCTTTTCTTAACATGTTTTTTTTAATTGTAATTTCACTCTCTACCCTAAATGCAAGTGCTGCAAGGTCTAAGGACCAGCAACCTGGGGTCCAGGGTATGTGCTCGTTGTGTGAGTGTGTATGTCAGTGTGGAAATGCTAAAGACATCAAGCCAGACTAACTTCGGGTATTGGAGCAGCCATAAGTCTGGGCAGGATGCTGGAGAGACCAGAGGGTCTGCAAGTTGGCTTCTGGGGATACTGGGAGGTCTAGACCAGCTACTGGAGAGATTGTGGGTATCTGGGAGTTGGCTACTAGTAAGGTCATAAGACAGGGAGACCCACTGGTGTGTGTTTCTGTCTCTGCATGGAGCAATGGGGAGACTGGGGGTTCCAGGGGCAGCTACTGGAGAGATCCATCTTGTATGTACGTGTGTGTGTGTGTATATATATATATATATATATATATATATATATATATATATATACAGACACCTATTTTCCCCTAACAGGTTTTCATCCTAATCAGCCAGAGAAGTGAACAAGATGAGGTCACTGGTCCTGTTTGTGTTTGCCTGAGTGATGGTTTTTGCCTGTGTTGATCCATGTGGCTGGACATCTGCATACATATATAAATTATATAAGTATTACATACGTGTGTGTGTGTATGTGCCTACTGGGAATTTGTGCTCAGCTTTGCTACTGGGGGGGACATGGGGGCATAGAGCTGTAGCAGATTTGCCTCTACTGGGTTTGAATTCAGGGCCACTGGATCTGGCAGCCCCAAACAAGGACAGCACTACCTTCTCATCGTTCCAAGGGCTTAAACATATATTTTATTGGTGAGATGCACTGACAGTGCAGAAGAAAAAGCACATTGGGAAAATCCTTAAGGAGCAATCAATCCCATCTAGGCTTTAGCTGCTAAATTCTGCCAAGCCCTTACATTGTGCGTGCTGAAGCTTTACAAACATTTGTATTTGATCGAATTTGGTGGGATTTTCACAGGATCATCAAAAGATACTCCCCGTTGCTCGCCAGGGTACCGACTCCACGTGAGTTTGCTCCAGTGGTTACCACAGGGGGTCCTATGCTTCCCACTGTCCCCACACCTCACCCCACACGTTGTTGTGCCGTCACCATCTACAGCCACTGCGCCGGTGGAAACACAGCTCTTTCAGGCACTTTAAAAATAAGAAATAAAGCGGTTTAAAAATACATTATATTTTCTCCAGACCCCTGGCACTCAGAGGAGACCTAGGCAAAATGCAGCACAGTGTGGCCATGGCGATGGTCTACCATGTATGTCCAAGGAGTCCATCCAGGGGAAACACTACTCCAAGGACTGTCCAGTGGACAAAGCCAGAGAAGAGGCAGGAAACCAGCACTCCTACAGCATACCTCAAGCAGGGTCTGGCGGCCCAAAGCTGAACTGAAATGGGGCTCCTGGTGATGGACTGTGGAGGCAAACCCATAGTGGTGCTGGTCAAGTTCAGCATGGACAGTTAGCACCCTCAGGGCTCTTACAGGGCATGCATGAGTTTTTCAAAGAGCTTTCCAGAAAATGTCCAGATGGGATCTCAACAATGAATGGGGAAGACATCCCAGCTCCTGGCACTCTGAGGTCCCCCAGGAGGACTTCCCCTGGGCATCAACTCTTCCCCTGCCAGATCACTGCAGCACGGAGGAATCCCCAAGATGAGGTGGGGGTGGATTGCTCAACTGAAGCAAAGGGAGGTTAAGCCATGAAGCTCCATGTCCTGTCCTCATTTTGAAACCCTTGTTCGGTGCTTGACTTTGCAGCATGTTGATCTCTGCCGTATGGTTTGTGTGAGTCACATGGAAGTGCATCCACAGATGTGTTTGTGGTGAGAGAGCTTTAATATTAGAAAGAGTGGGTGGGAAGGGAAGAAAAAAAAAAAAACCTACCTGAACAATTTTTTTTTTTCTCCTTTTCTTCTCTTATCTCTTGATCTGCCTGAATAAAGTGTGTTGGTTGATTTAGGATTCTGAAGACATAAGTATCTGCCCTCCCCTTTCTGGAGGTAGGCGGAAGGAAGTGGGCTAGAAAATGAAATATCAGCTCCTAACCTCGGGTCAGGTAAGCCAGCTAAATGCTGCAATGGAAAGGATGGTAGAGGTTGACATTGACTATAAAAAGGAGATCACAACCGGCTTTGAGACACACGCAGAGTGGAAGAGGTCTCGGAGAAGGAGAACTCTTGTGCTCTGCCTCCGCGTGCATCTGGCTGAAGCAGCAGAGGGGTTGCTATGGCTTTTTCCAGCTGTGCTGCAGTGGTGAGTACTTATATTTGGTGTAACTGTTAAGATATATTTGCTGCAAAAGAAAAAGCAGAATGCAGATCCCACGATGCTGTTATCTGCAAACAGCCCTTTTGGTCTTAGTGGGAGCTGAGTGGGATGCTAAGTCTGTCTGACACAGGTTTCTCTCCTGAGCTTTTGAAAATGGGTTTGGTGCTTGAGAGGCAAGGAGACAAAGGACTATCCGTTGTTTATCTGTGAGGGCAGCACTGCTGATGTGGGATTGGGAGAGACAGTCAACATCAGGCAGTATGTTATCAAAATTGCTGAAATTTCACTGTGAAGTGAATCTTTGCGCATTTAAGTTTCAATCTGGGGAGTATCTGCAGTACTGTCAACTCCTGTGATTTTCTTAAAATGTATCTGTCTTCTTTTCCTAAAATCCTAGTCTCTGGAATGGCCCAAGAATCTCAGATTTCATTGAGAAAAAGAGTTATGCCCAGCAGATGGCTGCTAGGTGGCTAACCTGTCCTGTCCTGAGAATGCATATGGCTTACTACATTTCTAAGCTTAGGCATGGAGTCAGTCCTTACCCCACCTTGCAGATCCTAAGACTGCTGTTTGATGTGGAGGAGGACCTCTCATAGCTTGTTGGAGAGATGCTTTTCTTGGTGCAGAGCCAACTATGAATCAGAGTTCGAATCAGAGTTTAGCATCTGTCGTGATGAGTATTATTAACATTGTTGGGTTATCTGCTCATGCTGACCTGTCTCAACAAACGTATGAAGATGATCCATTGATGGTCCAGTTTAGTCAAGGCTCGGCTCTTTGTGTTCTCCCTTTCTTGACTGAACTGAGCTAATGACACCTTTTCTCTCTCCCAGTTCAGAGCACTGCTTTTGGTGCTGGTTCTAGCACTCACCGTAAAGAGCTCACCCCATGGGAGGGTTGGTCATCCTCCACCCAACAAGGACAGTGGCTCTGGAAGAGTTAGCAGAGGTTGCCTGAACCAAAAGGATCTCAAATTCCCTTCAACACTGAAAGTTGACGTTCGTATCAGCAATTCAGATCAAGCCTTTAGGACAGTCCACGATGTCAGAAACAGATCACTTGCTCCTTGGGATTACAGGTAACTGTTCAGTTGTTGTCTAAGTGGTTGGGCTATGGTTGGGCTACACAGACGGTATTTTTGTGGTGAATGAATGTTGGTTCTCAGCATATGCTTGGAGTCCTGTGGATATTGCAAACACTTCTTGAAATGCACATTTTGATGCTGGGTGAGATTTCTCCAAGAGAAACTGCAGCACAGAGGGACATCATTGGAATGGTTTCTAATCATCTTATCAATCTTTGTCAATCATAGAATCATTTAGGCTGGAAAAAACTTTTAAGATCATCAAGTCCAACTGTTAACCTAACACTGCCAAGTCCACGCTAAAGCATGGCCCTGAGCAACACATCTTCATGTCTTTCAAATACCTCCAGGGATGGTGACTCAACCACTTCCCTGGGCAACCTGTTCCAATGTTTGACAAACCTTTTGATGAAAAAAATTTTCCTAATATCCAATCTAAACCTCCGCTGGTGCAACTTGAGGCCATTTCCTCTTGTCCTATCACTTGTTAACTGGGAGAAGAGACCAGCTCCCACCTCGCTGCAACCTCCTTTCAGGGAGCTGTAGAGGATGATGAGGTCTCTCCTGAGCCTCCTCTTCTCCAGACTAAACAACCCCAGATCTCTCATACTTGTGCTCCAGACACTTCACCAGCTCCGTTGCTCTTCTCTGGACATGCTCCAGCACCTCAATGTCTTTCTTGTAGTGAGGGGCCCAAAACTGAACACAGGAACCGAGGGGCGGCCTCCCCAGTGCCAAGCCCAGGGCTCAGATCCCTTCCCTGTCCCTGCTGGCCACGCCAGTGCTGACACAAGCCAGGATGCCATTGGCCTTCTTGGCCCCCTGGGCACACTGCTGGCTCATAATCAGCTGGCTGTCGACAAACTCCCCCAGATCCTTTTCTGCCAAGCAGCTTTCCAGCCACTCTGCCTCAAGCCTGTAGTGTTGCATGGGGTTGAAATGATGATGAATTATTCCTCTAGGAAAAATAAGATGTCAGTACATTGTAATTTTACGTTTTCTTAACTTAAAGAAATTTCTGAAGGCTGAAATTAAAACCAAACCAAACCAAAATCAGTTCTGTATTTCACCCAGCTCCACTCCATTCATCAACTGCTAAAGAGTGATATGGTGGTATTAACCTCCCCCAACTGATTCAGTTTCTAGAAAATAATTCTAAAAATGTTTAAGATAGGGAAACTCTTTGGATGTGACTCATAGTGAGGATACACAGGTAAATAGCATGCTCCTTTCATGGAGATAAACAGGAAGATCCTGCCCAACCACGTTATCCAAGTGTATAAAACCCTTTTGTGTCCCCATCCCCAGGCTTGACGAGGACCCCAACCGCTTCCCCCAGGTGATTGCTGATGCCAAGTGCCGCCTCTCTGGCTGTGTGAACGCACTGGGGCAGGAGGACCATAGCTTCAACTCCGTCCCCATCCAACAGGAGATCCTCGTCCTCCGGCGGGAGCAGGGGGGCTGCCTGCCCACCTACCGCCTGGAGAAGAAAGTCATCACCGTGGGCTGCACGTGTGCTGCTCCAGTCATCCACCACCAGTCCTAGGAGGGATTAGTATGAGAGACAACATCAGGAAGAAGAAATGTCTCCTATGAACACCTCTTAGGGGAGACGCCCAACTTGCATTCCTGGAATTCAACATGACATTTCCTTTCCAAATCTGAGCAAATTACCTCCTGAAAGTATTGATTCTTGCTGGTTTTTATTTCTGAGTGGAAGTCACTGGGAGCTGGTGATGGAAGGGAAAGAGAAGGATGAAGAAAAAGTTTTGTTTGTGACTCCAAGCAGAGAGAGGGTAAAGCAGTGTTTTCGGGGGGGTGGTTGTTTTTTTGTTTTTTTTTCCTTGTCATTGTGGCTTATATCAGTTTGGTGAATCAAATGAGTTATAGTTTCAAAAGCTGTCCTTGGCAGTAAATTTCCCTAATATATACATGCCAGCCAGCACTGACACAAAAAATACGTCCTCCTGCACCTTCTCATCCTCTAGCTCCTTTTTGTCCTTCCGCCATGCCTGCTCACTAGTGTATTATAGTGTAAATGTGACACAAACGCCCCTAGGCCTGGCTCTTACTGCACTCTAGGGGGGATGCTCCCCTGGGGAGCAGTGGCTGACTTATTTCAGAGCTTTTTGGGACAGAATTGAGTCCACTTGCATTGAGTGTTAAACCAGCAGAGAACTAACGAGTGTTTATATTTCTATTTATATCTTCTATTTATGACTGTATTTATGGCTTTGTACGTGCTCAGAGTATAAAAAAATGGTAGATGTTTATCTGTATTTATTCAATAACTTATCTGCTGAATAAAAATTGTATTTTATTTAAAAGAATGTTGTTTTATGATAGCTCAGAATGAAAGTAGACACAGAGAATGGGTTTGTGCTGCTGTAGCACTGAGAGATTTCAGCTTTTTCCGGTGCAGGGATATGAGTAAGAGGGGACACAAGAGAACTTGCAGCCTAAATCGATGAAAAGATGCCAAAAAGGTCTGAAAGTGGTGAAGTGAGGTCATACAGGCAGCACGGGGGGAGTTGGCATCATGGAACCACGTCCTCTAGATCTTGGGGATGGTCTTTAGGTACGGTGGGAAAAGCAGTGGGAGACATCGCACCGCAGGGCTGCAGCTGAGATTTGGGATGGGGGTCTAGCCTTGCTCATGGGAGCTGGAAAAGGCCTGTCTTATCCTCTTCCAGACAAGATGTCATCCTTATAAGCAACCTTCTCCTCCGCTACCTGAATGGTTGGTTGGCTGAGCAGGAATGCAGGGACATGTGCAAAGATGGCTCTGTCTCACCTCTCTTTAGTCAGCCAAATATTAGGTGTTGGGCTTCAGGTGGTGGATAAGGATCCTTCTGCATCAAGGGAACAAGGAATAAACACCTCCAGGGCAGGACAGCCTGCTGAGCTGAGGTGGCCTAACTTAGGGAAGGAAGAATTGCTCTTTCTCTCCCTTAGTTCTACAAGGAGCACAGCCTAGCAAGTCCCACTGTTTATTATTTTATCAGATTGCTGCAGTTTTTTTTTTTTTTTTTTTTTTTTTTTTTTTGACATTATCCATCTTTCATCCAGAGCTGAGCCAGGTTCTCATATGTCTGACTTTGGTTTCTGCTGGTGGAGGTTTTAAGCCCGTATTTCCTTGTTCACCTGCATTTAAACCAGGGTAAACCCGTGTGCAAGCATTTTTGTATTTCGTTTCAGCTGCTTTAAATTGGATCCACCCAGTGCAGGTAAACCCTGGGTTTCCTCCCCTGAGTAGGTCAGACAAGTCGTTGGGTCTCAATGACTCCCTTAGTGCTTGTTTGTTGAGTCAGGTGTATTCCCTGCCCCGCGGGTCACTGGGAGCCAGTTCGACAAGCCCTGGGTAACCAGGCAGGGAAACTGTCTCATTCAGTTACGAGTGTATGTACTCATTTGCGGCAGCAGCTGTTTCGTTATGACCACCAAGCTCTTCATGTGGTGGAGTGCAAACCCATGAAGGCATCATCTGCATGCTCTTGTATAACACCAGCTCTCCTCTTACAGTAACCGCTGACCAGGAAATCGCACGTTGCACACCCTGGTTCTTACTCCTGACCTATTTCTCTTCCTCTCGATAAACCAACCTCGTGGGGTTGTTGTCCTCACTTGTTTTGCGGGGAGAAAACTAGCCTGTATTTCTCCCTCCAGACATAATTATTTTAGTATTGGGTTCGCGGCAGCTAAACAGATGTAAACTCCTGTGCTGATGCTGTTAAACACCCATCAGCTTAGCTTAAGAGTTGTTCTAACTGGATGAATTATGAAGTAGCTAATTAAAAAAAAATGCAAAGGTAGCTGATTAAGGAAGTCTCACCCACAGGTCATGAGGTTTTGGAGCCAGTGCTATTAAATGCAAACCACACACCTCCCAGTGAGGCATGCGTTTGTATGTGGGGATCGTTTCTAAATTAAACAAGTAACGAGGGTTATTTCCTTCTAATGGCATCATTCTTAGAGTGCAGTTGGTTGTAAACACGAGTCTGATTATTTCTTAGGCTGGCTTTTGCAGTGAGGTAGGTGGTTGGCTTTCCCAGCAATCTAAGAATACGGCAAACAAATTTATGCTTCTTGTAAAGAGCACAGTCATATCACCACCAAAAGTAAGTACAGCTCACAGCTGAGGACCAGCCTTTGATAAAGGCTTTGCTTGGTTTTCTTCCCCTTGCAGCAATGGACCCAGCCCCTGGATGCCCAGCTGGGCATCTCTGGCTCTCAAATGTAGCTTAGAGCAGCCTTCAGGGACTCAGGTTTTTTTACCAGGAGAAGAAGACACAGCTGTAGGTGTAGCAGAAGTCCTACAACGTCTTCTTGTAACCTGCTGGGCTAAGTAACGTGCAGTCACAGGTTGGTGTCTGAGCCTTGTGGCCTTTCCTATTCCTTTCCTCTTCAGCTTGCCTCTCACTGACCTCCTTTCCCTGTCCCCTTGCCCACTCCTCCCCTTGGCTGTGCCCGTTCTGGCAGTTCAAGCAGCGATCCTGTTGTGTAGCAGCTCTCAAGGGATGTCGGAGGCAGCACACTGCAGAGACCATGCATCAGCGTGGGCTGGGAGGCACAGCAGTGCTGTGAACCCGGGTAGATGCCTCCTCCCAGACCTGGATGTGTTGGCCTGCAGGTGTGAGCCAAGCTTCTTTGGACCCTTGGCAACAGGCAGATGCTCCTGGGGGTGTTTAAAGGGACTACAGGCCAGGTCAGCCCATTCCACAAAATCATTGCTTTTAAAAGTGCACAGAAATGAAATAAATAAAAGACGCAAAGGTTGCAAACTAAAAGGTTGAAACAACCCAATAACTGTTTGTGTTTGCTAAGCCAGAGGAGCAATGACTTGAAAATCCAGAAGCTGACACAGCTTGTTGAGAGTTAGACCTAGCAGACAAAATTTTAAGGGGATGAGGGATTTGCTGGTCAATCCTGTGGGGTTCTGTGGTTTAGTGTCAACGTGATGGGTACAGATGATGGGGTGAGTTTCCATATCGGCTGTGAGTTCTGGCTGTGCGGGGAGATGGCCTGACAGATCAGACCAGAAACCTGTTCCCGTGTCACCGTCGCAGGGTAGAATGTGAGACTTGCCTCAAACTTCTCCCTTTGCCTCCTTCCCCTTCTTCCTCTTATTTATTTGCTCTTTGATATTATTTTTAACCTTGTGCTTAAAAAAAATCTAGGTGAGTGGGCCAAATATGCATCTTCTACAGCACTGTTTCAAGGTAGTGACAAAAAAAAAAAGACCCCAAATCCATAAAATGTCTGTGATTGCCTGATAACTGCTTGGCAGACTCAGAGCTGTTGGTTGGGGATGGGACTGTGTGCTGGTGCTGGCTTTCAGGAGCTTAGAAGATGCCAACCAGGCTCAGCACCAGAAACAAACCACGGTTTCCATCTTTGCTACTCACACAACCATTTTCTGTCTTTGCTAATTATTCTCCATACTTCCAGGGCTGGATAGTTGCAGCAGCTTCTTGTCTTCAGCTCTTCAGATGAATCCATTCCTGCTTTTTGTGTAACTTTTCTGTTTGTTCATTTATTTTTTTCCATCAGAAAACTAGCTCAGTTTTTCCACCTATTTCTGTAACTTCAACAAGAGATTAAATATATTTAATGCTCTTTGGGGGGTCATGAACTGAGTCGGCTCTACGCAAAATACTGTTTTCTGGGCATAGCTTTCTATGGGTGAGTTTTAGTGGTTTTACCAGTACAGTGTCATATTTCTGCTTTATCTGCAATCTTAGTAAGCATTATGTGTTTGTATCATGATCAAGGTTCCCTGTTCCAGTAAGCGAACAGCGATGGTTTATCTTCTCTCTAACTTGCCCCTATAATTTTTCGGGTTTACTTTTTATTTCAGACTTCTGAAATCTGTACTCCTGGCCTCTTTCATGTTGTAAGGCTTCCCAGACAGTTGAACCTGTATCACCTTTTAAAAGCATCTGGTATCTGTCCAGCTTGCTTTGGTAGCTGGCAACGATGAGCATGGTTATCTGATCATTTGCTACACAAATCCAATCGCAAACTTCCCTTTCTGGTGCGTCTTACAGCGTGCCAAGCAATCTGGCTGCTGCTGCTCAGATTTTATGAACTGACATGAAACTGAGACAGGGAGCAATGCTGGACTGGAAACCTTTGTGTTGAAGATTTTGCAGCAACTCCCAGTCCTCCCCTCTGCAATGATATCGTTAAAGGACATCAAATAAGAGGGGAATTGCACTGAAACACTCCAAAACAAAAAAAGGGCAAGCTTTACCTCTTGAACCTCAAAGAGCTGTGCAAGAGTGAAAGAGGGATTTGGTCTCCTGGTGTGATCATTATTGACCTGTAGTGATGAACATTTGCCCAGAGAAACAAAGGCACTGATTAAGTGACCTCATGGCAGGGTGCATTGGTTTGGAATTATTCTGCTCCTTTCCCACTGAACACAGCAATGCGAAAGAAGACCTCTTAGCTCATGATGCCAGGAGTTACAAGAGAACTTGGGGTAGGAAAGAAAATAGTCCTCAGGCCAAACGAATTTGGGTGATCATACTATTAATCGCTTCTGCAGGAGCGTGTCCAAGCAGCTGGCAGGGGTGAGCATGAAGTTGGCACGAGGCCAAGTAAATAAATAAAAAAAAATGTTTGCATCCTAAGGCATGGTTTTAACTGGGTTGGTAAATGGTCCAAGGGAGAATGGTGTTGCTGGAAGCAGGACTGGAGGATCTTTTCAGCCCAACAGCAGAAAACTGCCGTCATTTTGGTACTCCAGCTGCATCATCTCTTGCTGACCTGGTTCTGGCTTTTTCCACATGGTAGCTCTCTCGCAGCATTGCTAACTACTCTCCATTACTCATGTGACAGCTCCAGCTAACGGCACTACCAGGTAATAAAGGGTGGGACTTACCGTAATTTTAACTGTTAGAAGTTACTTGAGCTGCTGCAGAGAATTTGCCAAAGCTCCTCCTATAGCAGGTGTTAGGACGTTGAGAGATTATCTAATGGACAAGGCAATCATCTCTATTTCAATACTCCTGGACTGATATTTATGTAACTCCTTGAAAACATCAAAGAATGAGTGTTCCTCCATTATTTTTTTTTTCCAGTCTCTTCCCATGCTTAATATTCTTGGAGCAGTCATCTGAGTGAACTTCAGGACCTGCAGAAGACCTTAAGGAAAAATAGCTGTAGACAAGGTAGGGAACAAGCTAAATTAAGATCACAAATACTGCTAGATACTTATATATGGGTAAAATTCTATCAGTGTTTGAAGGTTAATAAAGGTGTGGTCAGGAGCTCACTGTTGTGACTGCAGATACTGTGATCACTCAGTTAACGTTTCCTTGGACCAGTGCATATCTGCTAGGTCAAGGGGTGGTGTGAAACCTGTGGCCATGCTGTGAGTTTAGGTTGCAGGCTGACCCATCTAACTCTTCCTGGAGTAGATTAGGGAGGGTTTAGGCTCACTGGCACAGCTGGAGGGAATAACCCTCAGGACGCAAAGCTGGGATGATCACATCTCCAGTTGGCACAGATGGATCTGCGGGAGATGCTTTCACCTGAGAGGACCTTGACTCTCATTAGGGACTTGTATCCCTGACGTCTGCATCTCTCTAAATTCTGTATTAGCTGTTGCATTTGCCAATGGCATTTTGCCAGTACCCGAGAAGGGTCACACCTCCCTGAGACCGCAGCAAACAGCAAAAAAAAAAAACCAACCCGCATCTTTGCAAAGCAGCCTGCCTTTTGAAACATGGAACATTTTCCTCTGAGCACTTTTAACCCAAGTGTGCTTTAAATAAACCCACCTGCTGTGCTAGACACCCACCTACGCAAGCCCCATCATAACCGTGGCAGAAGTGCTGTGTCAGGGTGCTCTACATTTGAAGCGCTAACTGCTGGCGGTGAACGTATTGGAAGGACACGAGCATGGAGAAAATTACGACTGCAGTTAGTGATATGCGGTTAATCGCTTCGATGATCCACCCGATTCACTCATGTACTTTTCTTCTTGTGCTCAGGTAGCAACCCAGAAAATGTGTTAAAACGGGTTGGAGTGAAATTCTAGACAATGTCAGACCAAAGTTAAAACTTAGCAGTGGAAACGTACTCGCCATTTTTAGGGGAGGGAGTTTATTTCTCCACAGAGAAGCATTCAGAATGTTGCACCGAACCTACCTTTACAAATTCCTTTCCAATCGGATAATTAGGTGGATCACTGGGTAGTTACCCACTGCTTATTTTGTCTGTCTTGAAAGTGAATCTACTGGGTGTCACTTGGTAAATCATTTTCCTCCAAGTATCTTACTTTCTCTATCGGTAAAATGGTGTTGATGATACCAGCCCTAACTTTTCTATGGGCTTTATGTTCTGCGGCAGCAGAGCTAAATGTTGTTAAAAGGTTTTTAGGGTTTAGCATCATCTCTTATAGAGTCATAATTGAATTGGGTGATTTCTTGCCTTATCAAAAAGGCTTCTGTAGAAAGAAAGAATACCACAGAGTCAGGTTTTTTTTTGTTTGTTTGTTTTTTAATTACACGAGGATAAATAGATACATTATTACTAAATTTTCCACCAGCATAAATAGAATTATATTAATATGATTCTAATATTAATTATAATAATTATATTAATTATATTAATTTTATTAGACATTTCAAAGTGTAAACTAAAGATGTGTAAACAGTTCCCATCACTTTTTCAGCCTGGCACATGAAGTTGTCTGGATTCTGAATTGATGGAGTTCAAGATTTTTGGGGAAAGCATTTTTTTTTTTTTTTAACTGAGAATTACAAAATTTCTAATATATGCTGCTAGATTTTAGCTAATCGCTATGGGAATCAGGCCCCTTCACTTCAGTGCTGTTAGGCAATGCGGTTCTCCTTCGTGGCTCCCTGCTCTTACACTACTGGCTTCCCTTAAGCCTGGTGTCGGATCAAGGGGGTGACACATGTGCAGCCCACAGTGATTTCTTTCTTCTCCAGCCGGTAGGATTGGTGGCAACCTTTCCTCTCCCTCCGGAGGACGAGGATCTCCTGTTTGATGGGGACGGAGTTGAGGCTGTGGTCCAGCTTCCCGTCCAAATTCACACACCTGGAGTGGCGGCACTTGGCATCGGCAATCATCTCGGGGAAACGGTTGTGGTCCTCATCGATCCTGTAAGTTGACATGAAAGGAAGTCTTTGAAATGGAAATGCTGCTGCATCTCTGGAGACGTGGTAGTCTGGATCACTATGGGCTCCCCGCTCAGGAACGTGTCCCCCCTGTGAGAGTGGCTATGGAGGGGCGGTAGGCCCTGGTTTTTGAGAACTAAACTGTAATAAAGTAAATACTGCAGGTTTTTAATATAAGACAAACATGCCAGGATTACATGCAACTGCCCTTGCAAAGAACTTGCTTCAGATAGACACTAACTTTGAAAGACGGGTTAGAAATTATTTGAGCTTCCTGACGTATCAGACTGACTGACAGACCTAAGGACCTTCAGCTCCCTCCCAAAATATGAAACGTTCTTAGAGCCTGATGCTGATGTTCTTAAACCACCATTGAATATGATGCAAGCCCTCTGAGTTATTTTTGATGATCCGTTAGGTAAATAATGCTTTTGAAGAGAAAGCTTGCCCCAGTACACAAATAAATTAATTCAAACTGCAAAAATAATAATTTGCTTTGCCTTCTGTATGTCAGCCTAGACCTTTTTTTTTTTTTTTTTTCCTCTGTGCTCCATTCTGTATTGGTTATCATTCAAAGAGAATTATATGGACTGTGGATACCCTCATATTTCCAAAAATCTTTCAACAGTGAAGCAATGAAAATAAAGATGTGGGCATAGCCTCAGCAGTATTCTTGACCAGGGCAGCCCAAGTATTTCTAGACAACAGGGACAGAGATCATACCTGTAATCCCACGGAGCCAGAGAGCGTCTGCTGACATCAGGACTCACAATGGCATTCTGGTTTGAGTTGCTGATGCTTATGTTTACTCTCACAGTCTGAGGGAATGTTGAGTCTTTTTGGGTCAGACATCCAGCATATGCTTGCTTGAAGAGGCTCCCCGGCTTGAGTCCGGGCTGTATCACCTTCCCGGAGGCAGAACTGCTGGCTGACAGCACGGCCAACAGCATTAAGAGCAGGGATCTGAACTGCAGACAGTTGGTACGTTTAGGATAGGATGCAGGTACAGCTGCTATAACACAGCATGCCTAATGACTCCTCTGTGCGGCTGGGAAATTCATCCACAGCCAGTTTAGCTGGTAGTTAAAGCCTACACTGCAGGTTGGAGTATTTATGGGAAAATTTGTCACATAACACATCCACTCCTGCCTTCATTAACTAATTCTTACAGTGCTGACAGGTAGGGTACACACTCAGTTGTAATTTGGTGATTAGAAAATGTGAATGATAGAAAATAATTGAATGTAGGAGATAGCAGAAAGGATATAATAACAAAAAAACCCCACAACCCACCCTAAGATTGAATTTTCAATGTATTTCTTGACTCGCAGTATGTTGCAGTAGCCTTGTGCACTAATATACCCGTACAGTCTCATTGCTGCCCCATGTTGGTGCTATTCAGTAGTTGTCTTCTTTAGTTATTTTCAGTTATTAATGGTTTAAACAAGCATTTTAAAGGTGCATCCCCATCCCTGACAGTCATCTATTAGCATTAAATATGCCTCTGTCTAACTGGGGTAAAAAAAAAGCAGAAAGTAAGTTCTTACCAGAGAAGCACAAAGGATTGGAGACATTTTCCTCCTTTCTCTTACTGCAGCTGATGCTTATACTGGGCTCTGTTGAATTGAAGGTGTCTGGGCACATTTGCTGCTGGACTTTTTATAAGGGTTTCTGTGCTGTCCTAGTTAATTTGGAGTAGGTGTTTGTTTTTTTTTTTTTCCCAACCTTAACTGTGGTTTCTGACCATAGCTTGTTTAAAAGTGTATGTATATATATTCCATTAACGCTGGTGGAAGACAGGATATGGGCTCATCCTTTCTTAGATCTGTAGATGATGTCATTCTTTTAGCCATGTCACTCCAGCAGTAACAAAACTCAATGATGATATTAGAAAACCACCAAAAAAAAATTGACACGCACTGCAGTAAGCGGGTGCAAAGTACACGATTTTAAAATCGGGACTAGAGCTGCCATCTGGTCAAACCTAAGTCGATGTGCTTCATGGTCTTGACTTGGGATGATGTAGGTCTCAAACCCATTAATGTCACCGGCACTGCCAGGTTGGATCCATTTGCTCCTAGGTCAGTCTGATATCTTTTCATCCTGAAGTGGGCAGATGTTGCACAGCTGGCCCCCATCCAATTGCTCTCCAATACTTGCCATGTGCTGCCACTTGTCTTCATGTCAGAAGAGCTAGATCCCTTCTGAAGCTTTTTTTTTTTTTTTTTTTTTTTTTTTTTTTCCTGAATCTCCTAGTCTGGATCACACTATTTTTACTCACATCTACACCTCAGGTGTGATATGTCAGTTTTGATCAGAATGTTTTGTGATAGTGAGTTCCCAAATTCAGTCATTCTCCATCGGGGAAAAAAAAAAAACCCAAACCCCGTGAACATTGGTTTTGAGCTTGCCACCTTTCTTTTCACTTCAGACTCTTGTCTGTGAGACAGGGCTCTGATCCTGGGGAAAAGGGTCTGGGAAGTGTGATGTTTGTAGTAAAATCTTCACTTCCTAAGTTAGGGAGAGGACAGAGGCGTTCAAGAGAAACCTTGAGAAGGCTGTGAGATGGAAAATAACTTCTCTTGTAATCAGGAAAACTGGAAGGAACTGCAGACACCTCCTGCATGGGATATAGGTGATAGCGTGTTGCACTTGAAAATATTTGGAGCTAAAATACCTCGCGCTGTAAAATACCAAAGCATTACAACTCTTTGTGTCCCAGCCCTGTGTCCTGGCTGACAGTGATCAATGATCCCACGTAGCTCCTAATCCCACCCTGCTCTCTCCATCCTTGTAAGACCAATGTACTGCAGCTCTGATGTATCCTGCCATGTTGGTATTTAAACATGCAATATTTAAATCCACGTGTTCAAGTGGACCAACTCAATTTGACACGGTGACAGTCGGGATCCCTTTCCCCCATTCAAGGCTGTTTTTCTAGATTTTCACTAAGATATGGTAAGGGGGTTGCTGACCTGGAGAGGTTGGGCTGCTTCAAGGCTGTGCCCCCTCGTGACGTCGGGTCATTGTTGTTGCTCCAGCTGATAGCAACTGCCTTGAGTTTTGTTTGTTCTCAGGCAGATGTCTCGATGAGCCCTGAAGGCTCATTAAAAGCCCTGGGCTTCACCCTGAAAGAAACCTTTCCTGCAAGGTTTGCACTCACTCCCCTCATCTGCTTTCAGGGGTTTAAATCAATAGCTCACTGGTAAATATTTTGGTCACGGGGATTTATGGAATTCTCTGGAACAGGGTGCTTCTGTGGCATCATTCAATATCCTTTGCTGAGAGCTCAGAGCTCTACGGTTACGCCAGTCAGCAGCAAAGCAGGGGTGTGAAAGTTTTGGATAAAGCAGATACTGGATTAGGAACTAGAAGCTTGAGGTCTCCTCCCAAGCAAATATCCCGACCGCTAGCTGATGTAGTCTTCTTACTTGTTATCTCCAGCAAATACTTCATGGCATAGCTAGTTACACCAGCTACATCTCCCAGGGAGCCTCTCCACCCAGAGTGCTACAAAACCCAGCACACAGAGGGAGGGTTAGGCTCAAACCTGTCAGGCTGCAGCTTCTCAGGTAATGATGCTGATCCTAATCAACGATGTGACAGAGAATAAACCAGCTACTGCCGTCTTCTCTGGTGGAGTTCTTGAAGAGGAGGTGGGCAATGGACAGACACAAGGGTGTTGATGTTGCTTGCAGGCTGGATTTCAGAGGCATTTTTGACAAAGCAGCTTATGTTTTAGAGAGGAGGGGGCGAATGTTGAGTCTACCCTTACCTAACATCTCTTTCTTAGGCGATGACTCTCATCACTTCGCTCTGACAACGGGGTTACCAGTAGCTAGAATGTGCACCATAAAGTAACACTCGGTGTAACAGCCTTCACCTACTGATCCATACCTTTTCTCAGCTTTAATTTTGGTGATTTTTTGTAGATGAAAATGATGCAGATAAGGCATGTTTTTTACATTTGCTTAGCATTTACATTTAAGTCCAAATTTTACTCAACTTGTGCCATCAAAAGGAGGATATAAATAAGTGCAGCATTTAATTTGCTGTCTCTGGGGTAGCCATGACCTATATCAGCTTATTTAAAAGGTGCTGATGCCTGAAAATTTAAATGTATAATTCAGTTTCCCTCTTAGAGTTAGAGATGTACAGGTTAAAGGAAATGGTTCCCTCAGAAGGGGTTTTCTCTAATGCCGTTTACTGAAATATCCATTCAAAGTGGGTCAGTTAAATTTCCAATTTTAGAAGAAAAAATATTTCAAAAGCCTGCAAGGTAGTGGAAGGTCAGGTTCAAGCAGCCTGACCCTAAATCTAGGCTGGTCTACTCTAAATGTGTCAGTGGTTTGGGTTACCTCAGTACTTGAAAGGTGAATATCCGAGCATTCAAACACAGCTAACGTAGTGCAATATTGCAGTGGTGAAAAAACCCACAAAACTTTCCATGGTTTATTCTGAGCCATGAACACATTAGTTTGCAATTGTCATAGGCAAGATGAGAGGGTCTCGGGAGAAAATATACCTCTTGAAATGGGTTCACCGGGTCTGAATTATACAAATGAAACTCTCACATTTCTGGTTCCAAGATTTTTTCCAAGTTCCAAATACTTATCTTCCAATTATTCTTGGTCTGAAGTGAAAACAAAAATTGAAGATGATTTTTCCCATGAGATGAGAACTTACCCTGTAGGATTTATGTTATTCTGACACTCAGCACTCTCTGAGCTAGAGATCTGAAAACTGGGACACTAACAAAAGCTCATTGAAACAAAAAGAAAAAAAAATCAGATTATCTAAAGCCTTTTGAAATCAAACCTAGCCATTCTCTTGGCTCTGGTGAATGCTTTCTAGAGTTTGTTTCTTCTTAAGTACTTTACCCAGCTGAGATCCTTCAGGCACCCCAATCTGAGTGTGTTTCTTCCCTCAAAGTCACAGTGTGAGTCAGTATCAGAATGCTGGGGTCCTGATAGAACTTGTAAATTAAAAGAGAAATGGCATATATCTCAAAATACTTTATTTTTTTTCTCCATTATTTTTTACATTTTTTCCCCAATAATTATCAGTTAAATTTTACTGCTTCTAGAAAATAAGGAGCTTTTCTATTTACATGTAGGAAGATATTTACTTATTTTTTCTTGTTCAAGAGAATGCACTTCCTCCTGAGTATAAAGCCCTATAAATAAGGCAACACTCTTCCTCTTACTCACATGCATTGCTTGACCCACTGTGTGTTGCGGAGGTAATTTCTAGGAGATTAATGATTAGACCGAGCCTGAGGCCAGTAGTTATCTGAGAGAAATTCAGAGCTTGATGGGGGCAAGGCTCTGAGCACCCTGATAAAACACAGAAGTTTAATTTTAGTTTAGTTTAATTTAATTTAATCCTGCTCATCCAGAGGTCTCCCCCTTCAAACTGGTTAAATCGCTGCGTCGATCTCCTACCCCTTGATCTTTGTACAGAAGACATGATAGAAAATTTAAAGTAACCTTTTTCTCTATTAAACACCTCTGCTTTTCCTCCCCAACAGCTGCAGTAGAAATTATCATCTCCTAATGAATGCCTAAATTTTCCCAACACGGCTAAATTGATATCACAGTTTTCATCAGCTGTGGTTGCTGTCGGTGGTTGACATGTCTGTCACATGATTAATGTCTAATAGATAGTAGCTGGGGAGTCAACATAAAAGAAGTAGACCGCTCAATTAATCCTTTTGATCGCTGGTTGGAGGGACAGGGGAAAAAGAGAGCTTCTAGATAGGTGAGTTGGACTTAGCAAGAAGCGGGCATTTTATGCCTGCTCTGTGGTAATTAATAGATGATTAATGTGTAACTGTGATATAGTCTGGGTAAGCGGAGGGGGGCTTTATGATGCCAGGAGGTGGGTGCAGGATACGGCTGCTCAGATTACAGCCAGATCAGGACCAGCAGAAGTATTGCTACTCGTGTTATTGTAGTGCCCAAGGGTTCGTTGTAAAGCTGGGCCGAGTCAGCTCCTGACACCTAATGGAAAGGACAATATCTCCTGCACAACACAAGGTACTTGTCTGCATGTTGAGTTTGAGAAATGCAGAGTGTCTGATGAGAGATCTACCTGAAACCAGATCATCAGAAGTGGTAAAGATCTCCCATGAGCGCCAACGACTTAATGCTTCTCCTAATTTATTTCTTTTTTCTGGTTATCAATGATGTTAATAACCAAATCATCAATTAAAGATCTCTGTCAATCCTTTATTTTCGTGTCTTCAGAGACATCCTGTGGCAATACATATCACAGCCAGTTATAAACTGCACAAGAAGAAACCCTTTATGCATAAAACTGGCTCATATTCAAGCCGGTAGAATGCTTTATACAAACAATTAACTAATTCTGAAATTCTCTGTTTGCTGTGTGACCTGCTCGCATCCTGTGTCTCGCCCACACCTTGGCCCCAGCAAATAGCAGGAAGCAGGGGGAGAAGGACTTGTGGTCCCATCTGCTGTCCCACACCCTGCAGCTCCGGCCTGCAGAACTTTCCAAATGTCCGTCTGAGATTTCACTTTGTTGCAGTTTCAGACATTTATTTCCCATCCCT